CAAAAAAAAAAAAAAAAAAAAACAAAAACAAAAACAAAAGAAAGGCAGGCTCATAAACACGTTACAGCGTGTTCTCACCCACCTATTCACTGCATCTGGCACTGTGCAAATGCTAGCTCTTTCCCAAAGTCAAAATAACCATAAAGGCAACCGTTTTGAATAAATGTGGGATATCAATGCAGTCACAAGCACTAAAAACACTCACAGAAGAAGGGGAGCAGACTTCCAGAACTGCTTTAAGAAGTGACAAGAGCAATAGAATAAGCGTGTTTGACATGAGAGGCTGTATTTTGTGGGGGATTAATGGCAATGTGTCTTTTACTGTAATAAATTTTCAAATTTAAATGTTCACTGCACTTGACCATACTTCATACCTTGTGACTCTCACTGGTGCCCTTCCCTGTGCCCCACTTTGCAGCCCCCGTGAACTGACCAGCTTTCATCCACCACGCCTTTCCTTTTGCCTGGATGTGTTTCTCCTGGAGCCAGCTGGCTACTGACTGAAGACCTTTGAAATCATGAACCGAATTAAACTTTTCCTCCTTAAGGTTCAGGGCTCATGTATTTTGTCTCAGCAATAGGAAAGCTGACCGATACAGGCCTTATCTCGAAAACTGGTTGGGTCAAAGGATTTATCTTGAAAGTATAACTTTATTCTTACTCTTAGTCAATTAATTCACCTATAAGTTATAGCATTTCCTTAGTTTTTTCCTCCACTAATAAAAATGTGGTATCATCAACCAAAGCACTTTTGTTAATGCCTAACTTGGTTTCTTCTTCTTTTTATTTACATTGCTTTACTATTTTTTCACTATCTGTGAACCCAGGCCTTCACACATGCTGAACAAGTGTTCTAGCACGGTGCTACACCCTAGCCCTTTTTACCTTTTATTTTCAGACAAGGTGTCTCCAAGTTGCCCAGTTTGTCCTTAAACCTGAGACAATGTCCTCCTGCTTCAGCCTCTAAAATAGCTAGGCTTAGAGGCCTGGGCCAGCTTGCTCTGCTTTTATTTTTATTTTATTTTCTTTCTTCCTTCTTCCATTTCTCATCCTGTGTCTTTTCCTTAATCTACTTATTTCACTAAGTGGTTAAATTGACCCCAAACCATACCTTCACCTTTCAGACTCAAGAAGGCCATTTAGAAGATACTGCCATAACCCAGGTGAGAGACTCTGATGAGGCCCTGAGCTGGAGTGACATGCGTGCCTCTGTCGCTCAGAGTGCTAGCACAGAATATCGTGGAGTAGGTAGCTTATCAGCAACAGAAATTTATTTCTCACAGTTCTGGAGGCGGAAAGGCCAAGATCAAAGCACCGGCACATTTGGTGTCTCGTCAGGACCTGGTTCTGCAACAGCCATCTTCTCACTTGTCCTCAAGTGACAGGAGACGGTAAGGGGCCTCTCTCCAGCCTCTTTTGTAAGTTCACCAGTTCTGCACTCTGGTGACCCAACCACCTCCCAAACGCCCATGCCCTAACTCCCTCAAACTGAAGGTTATTCTTTCAACAGTTGGAATCTGGGGAGAGCTCAAGCAGTCAGTCTGTAGCAGTAAGGGCAGAGAAAAGCAGGACATAGCTGAAAAATAATGACACTGAAATTGCTCGGCTATGTATGTACATGGGAATAGGGATGGGGACGGATGATGGGAACCAGGATGAATTCTACCCTTCTAGTTTTTCTGAAGTAAAGAACACAGGATGAGGAGCTGATCCAGGAGGGAACATGGTGAGTTTAGTTCAGGTCATGCAGGATGGAGGTGCATGTGGCGGTATCCCAAAGGCAGACAGAATTAGAAATAGGAAAGTAGTGATTATTGGATAGAAGCTTGCAGTGGGTTTAGAAGATGACCACCACCAATTTCTTCCCTCTCTCAGAATCGAGAGTGGATGCAGCAGCTGTGCTTGCAAGTCCACACAGTGAGCTCACAGAACCCTGATAATGAATGGTGACTGTTGTCTTCAGCCACTGACTTTAGGGGTTTACTATACAGCGATAGATGCAGAAGCTGGTGTGTGCTATGGGCTGGATGTGTCCTCCAGAATTCACATGAGGAAATTAGTCATCACGGGGATAGGATTGAGAGGGGGAGCATGTAGAAGGCAATTAGATCATGAAAGTGGGTCCTAATGAAGGGGATCCACAACCTTATACTAAGCCTGGAAGCTCCACACTAGGTGCTCTTGGTCTTATCTTCCACTGGCTAACGACACAGTGTTCATCCCTTTTGTGCTTCTGCCTTTCACCATGCCAGGATGCAGCAACTAAGTATCTTGTTAGCAGAAAGCAGCCCTCATCCAACAGAGAACACATAGGTGCTTTGGTCTTGGACTTTCGGCCTCTATAACTGTGAGAAATAAATTTCCATTCTTTATAAATTATTCAGTCTCAGGAATTTTGTTATAGCAGCAGGAATGGGCAAAGACAGTACTTGAACGTCTGGTGCTGCTATCACAAAAACTTAATATGTATGGCATTGGTTTTAGCAGTCTGAAGCCCAGAAGGTCTGATAATAACCCAAAGGCTGTAGAAATTGCTATTGGGAATTACAGAATAGTGGGTGTTAAAAGAGAAACATTAAACAAGTTAAATTTAGCAGAGTTTGCTTGGGCAAAGAACAATTTGTGAATCAGGTAGCAAGGAGGACCAGGAGAGACTCATAGACCTCTACCGAGCAATGTGGGCAGGCAGTGCAATCATCCCTCAGCGCCCACTGGGGCTTGGTTTTAGGACCCCCTGAGATGTCAAGACCCGTAGATGCTCCAGTCCTTTATGTAAGATGCCATAGCATTTGTACATCACTTACATCCTCCCTTATCTTTTAAATCTTCTGTAGGTTACGTACACCTAACACAATGAAAATGCTAGGTAAGTTGTAATTATTTAGGGAGTTGTTAGAGGAAAATAAAGTCTGTATGAGATAGTTAGGGACCACCACAGTGGGACAAAGGCTGGGTTGACAGAGTAGACCCCTGGGTGCTCTAAATTAGCACACATTGTAACATGATGTGTTGCATCTCTACCTTGTGCCCTTTGCAAGGAACCTGTCATGAGACTGATAAAACCACAGAAGCAGGATGCTTACATGAAATAAGGGAATCATTACCAAGGAAAAACCCAGATGAACCCTCCAGCTTCACTTGCTCTTAGTAAATGTAAAAATCACTAAATTTGAAGGTCACACAGCTGGGCAATATATTATTAGTTTCCCACTCACTTTGCTGTAAATAGCACCTCTGATGTGTGGGTTATGATAACAGTTGCAGAGGTCACTTTGCAGAAGTTTGAAAGCCACTTTTGTGAAAACACCGACTCTTCACTGAAGCCTGTGGCAATCTGGTAGGTGACAAATATAAGATAAAATCTTGACATCTCTGCCTTCATATTATGTCTGTCCCCTTTACTGTTTTAACCCTTGGGTCAGATTCCACTCAGTTGTCATGTAGAGGTGTTGAGCATTTAAAAATATTTAGTATGAGATCATAATACGGAGGTCACTCGGCCTATTGCCCATTGCAGCTGGCATGTGTTTTCCTTTCTCTCTCTTCTCTGCTGCCACTTGGGCTTCAGCAGCTGCAATAGCCCAAGCGTGTCAACTCTTTCAGCTGTGTCACAAAGCCCAGACCAAATTCCAAGGCCAGAATGTTTGCACAGGATGATGGCGCCGGCTATAAGAGCAGCTCAGCTGTTCCTAGGACAAACTGACCATGACCACCTGGTGGCCCAAGCCTCTGAGGAGACACCTTTTCGGACTGAATCCTGACCCACTGGTGGAAACGTACTGGACTTCTGGCCCACCCCAGCAAATCCATAAAAGCTCGCTGCTCTCTTGGTTCTGTAAGCAGCCTGATCTCCCTTCCCTAGGTCAGTGCTGGCTCCCTTCAGCTGATGTCCCTCTGCACTTCCCTCTCCTATTAAAGTCTCCTCTGGGTATGTGCTTGCAATTTTTGGCTTCGTCTCATTGTGATCATCACTGAGTCAGAGAGCCTGTCCGCTGTCATAAACATTTCTAATACAGACACAACACA